TTTTACAGTGTCTCTGATAACTTTATTCAAATAGATTTAGAGCTTGTGGTTAACGAGAAAACAAAATTTTGCTTCATCAATATCATTGTCATGTGTGATATTCGTTCGATTTGTGCTTCTAACTTCACAGATAACAGATTTCATCGCTTTTTCTTTTTTACTTCTCGCTGTGAAATCTGATCTAATTTAACCGTCTCCGTGAAACAAGATCTAAATATCATACTTAAAATATTAAGATACGATTTATATATCTTTTAATCGAATAAAGGCTCCCCAAACAAATTAACAAATTAATTTCGTAGTATTGTTATTATTATTACTGGTATCGTATTGTATCATCGATAATATTATTTCACTTAACTAGTATATCTATAAACAATTCTTAAAACGACAATTAAATAATAAATATCTGTACGTTTTTACTTTTCCATGTACTTTTTTTAATGGAAACTAAAAATTTTCTCAGTTTTATATGCTATAATAACATTGATAGCATTGAATATTATTTTATTAACACAATTGTAAAGGTTACGAAAGTATATATTCGATTTATTTTGCAGAAAATATAACAACTAGTTTCTCGTGTTAATAAAATATATTGTTTTTTAAGCATGAGGATTACGGAATTTCTCCCCTGCATATTTGGCAGCCGCACCCAATTCTTCTTCGATACGAAGAATCTGATTGTACTTTGCCAAACGTTCTGAACGACAAGGTGCACCCGTTTTGATCTGACCAGTCGATAGACCAACGACTAAATCAGCTATGAACGTATCTTCTGTTTCTCCAGAACGATGAGACACCATTGTACCCCATCCAGCGCTTTTAGCAAGTTTATGGGCATTAATTGATTCTGTGACAGTGCCTATTTGATTGACTTTTAGTAACAAACAGTTGCACGCCTTCTTCTCAATAGCCGTTTTAATTCTGTAACGTGTAATAGGTTTACAATGAAATTATCGTCTATGAACGTGAAAATAGCTTTCAACAAATGTAATTACTTTTTAAAATTTACAAGTTGTCAATTTAATGCTACAAATAACTTTGTAGGATAAATAATTAATTCGATATTTTGGGTTATATCGAAATTTGACGAACTTGTAATTTCATAAGAAATCGGAAATAATTTCATTTAAAGATTTTACCTTTCGGGATTTGTGACGGTAAGGTCATCACCTACAATTTGAATAGGAGTGGAGGATGTCATAGAAGTCCACGAGTTCCAGTCGTCTTGGTCAAATGGATCTTCGATCGATACAATCGGGAATTCCTTAACAAATTCTAAATATAAGTTCTTCAAAGCTTGTGGTTCCAAATATGTGTTTGGATCAGACTTTTCATTCTTAAAATCTAAATCATATTTCCCATTTTTATGAAATTCAGATGCAGCGACATCCATACCAATCTTGATTTTGCCTTCGTATCCAGCAACCTACATTGTACGATAATTATGAATAATCATTTCAATAACATTTAACTTAATACCATAACAAAATCAAACGTAAACTATACCTCGCAGGAACGTTCCTTGCGTAAGAAAATATTTTCCTTCTAGAGAGAAAAATACTTACTTTAATGGCATCTATGATCAGATTTAAAGCTTCTTTGTTCTCTAAAATATTTGGAGCAAAGCCACCTTCGTCACCAACAGCAGTAGCATCAAGGCCAAACTTCTTTTTAATACCAGCCTTCAAATGGTGGTAAACTTCAGTACCCATTTTCATGGCTTCAGTGAAATTAGCAGCACCAGTAGGTAGAATCATAAATTCCTGCATTGCCAATTTGTTTCCAGCATGTGAGCCTCCATTGATGACATTAAAAGCTGGTACCGGCAAAATAATATTGGCATTTCCTGCCAATTCCGCGATATATCTGCAATTACAGAACAATTTACAAAATTACCTATTATACGTCGAAGGTAAAAGCTGTGATATTTGTATCAGATACGTAATATAAAATTTTGTTCATCTTTTATTATTTGAAAAAGTAGTATCAAATTTAAAATTTGTTTATACATTTTGTACTTGACATATATTTCGTAATTTCATTGTAGGCTAATAAAGAAAGATTTGTTTAAATAATTTTATTTATAAATAATGATATTAAATTTAAGTTAAAAATCACACTTACTTATATAAAGGAATCCCTTTTTTAGCAGCTCCTGCTTTACAAACTGCCAAAGAAACACCCAAAAGTGCATTGGCGCCAAGTTTTGACTTATTCGGCGTACCATCCAGTTTCAATAGAAGGTTATCGATATCAGTTTGTTGCGTGACTTCCAAATTTGACTAGATAACGAATATTTTCATATTGATTAGTTAATAAATACAAATGTTTTTATTGTTCGATCATATGAACAATATATACACTTTTTAAATGTGTTCAAAAAATTGACAAATTTTGATAAATCTATGTAAAATTGAAACAAGTTATATATGCTACATATTATGTATAAACGCTGAACACTCAATACCTTCAACAATTCAGGTGTGATGATATTATTAATATTCTCTACAGCTTTAAAAACAGATTTCCCATGATACTTAGATTTATCATTATCTCGAAGTTCTAAAGCTTCATGAACACCGGTGGAAGCACCTGATGGTACTTCAGCCCTAAACAGCCCATTGTCTGATACAAGGTCAACCTATAAATAAAATATATAAAAAATAATAAGAACAATTTATGTGTAATCTTAATTATTACGTAATGTATTATAATATAAAATGTTGCATATAATTGAAAATTAGGAATATATATTAAAATTATACCAATATTCAATATAAGGTTACATAATGTACACTTGTCAATCTATGATTTATAATTTATCATACTTTCAGAACAAAAATCATTATATACCAAAATAAATCTCTGTTTTATATGCAGCAATATTATATTTGAAATAAAATTTAATCTGTTTAAGAATTAACATTTTCTTGTAATCTTACCTCTACGGTAGGATTACCACGAGAGTCAAAAATTTGACGTGCCTTGATGCTTTTGATTGGCATTTTCCTACTGTAATTAGTACTGTACTTACTGATTAGAAGTCTGAAACAAAAATATTTAACAATAACAAAATACTGATTCTAAATGTTGAAAAATTATTAAATACAGACCATTTCGCACGAGCAGGTGGTACAATCTAACTTTCATATTACATGTCAGTTACTAATAGTTTCAAGGATAAATAATCTTTCCTTAATATTAACATCAAATTGTCTTTAAATTTAAGCATTTTAAATATTTTTCGACAAAATATGTGTGAAATTGAAATACCGGTAGGCAAGTTTGCCTTGGAAATAATATAGTGTTTGACCTTGACAAGGTCACTGGAAGAAGTTTAAAAATCTGAACAATCAAGTTAATAGTTGTTTGATTTCAAAAGTGCTACATTTTTCAAAATTAAGTATAATGTACTCGAACTATCGCATATAATGACCTTACGATAAAACTTCGGCACTTAATGCATGCGGCACGTATCAAAACCATTTGTTTCTTTTTTTTCTTGTTGTTTTATGAATTTAAGAAACAAAACACTATACAAATCAAATCTTGACACTTCATACAGTGTCTAGAAATTCTTGAAGATACGATTTTTTACTCATACTGTAAAACTGAAGAAAATATGGCTCACCTACTGCAACGTATGACAATCCTCTTGAAGTGTTCGAAGTAGAATGATACTGTCCTACAGTTGACCTCAAATCACGAAGGTAGCTCTCCTATCGACTCTGATCCCGTCACGTATGAATTACGGAAGCGTTGAAACTAAAAGTTTCTCAACAATCTACACTACTGACAATATGATAAAATCTACGTAGATATTTATATAAGCAGGTATAAGATATGGAAGCAGAATCTTAAAGTTTTAATTCAATATAATTTGTCATGATAAAATAACGAAAATTGCGTAATCTAAATGTATGGTTTTATCGTTTTATTAATGATCTACTATCTTTGTATTGCATTGTTCATAAGCGCGCGAATTTGTAAAACTGCTAAAATAACTCTTAAAAATTGTAAGCTTAATATGTGCATATTTTTATTTATAACGCACAGAATCTTTGTAATGTTGAAACTATTTAGTTTTAAATATTATTATTATATAATATGCTATATGATATTGGAAATAAATTCACCATTGTATGAAAAAACCAAAAGTGTTACGTAGAAATATTATTTATTATACTTTTAAAATAAATAGGATTTGTACAAGAATAGAAATTTATAGATAAACACATTCATTTCAAGCTGAATGAATGTCTATAAAAAAAATATATTATATTTATTATTTTTTTGATATTTGTAACTTGTTGACGTAAGTTTTTGAAATACTTTTAATACATTCATGCTTTCTTGCTGTGATACTTTAATATACTTTAATCATATTATATGTGACGGTATACGATACTTTCATGCTACTTTTACCGTTCGAAATTTAGTGTAATCACTAAATACACCTTGAATCACACGTTAACAAGAATTTGCTCAATTTCTTTGTACATAATCTGTACCTAGGGAATTTAGCTTAATGTTTAGGACATATATATTAAGTTAATCACGTTTAGACATTACGACATATTAGTTTTTAAATTACTTGCAGTGTTTGTAGAGGTAAATATAAAAGGTGCCAGATTTTTTTACAAACATTACTTTTGTTGAAAGTTTATTCAAAAATATGAAATATGTATATTCAATTATTATGATACAGTTTGTACACGTATAATAATATATCCTTAAAAGATAAATTTGCAATTATAATTTAAATAATAAATTCTACATTGAAAAATTTTACGCTATTGAATGCTAATGAATATGCTTATAACGTTTGAGAAACATATTTTACAGAATAAGCACAGGCTGCATGAAATTACTTAAACAGATTTTTACATTTGGTATTAAATTATCTTCACTATTATAGCTAAGTACTATTCCATTCATAAACAAAATAATAATTATTATATTCACAAGAAATTAATATTTTATTAGTTTCTGAATTACGTTTTCAAAGGCATAGATATCTTTGTTATCAAATTCCGTCGGTTCATTTACATCATTACTCTATCAATTAAAATAGTTGTACAGAGATCAAAGTGTTTTACAGAAGGCACTCTATATATGTTACAAATGTAAAGGAAGTGCCAGTATTCTAAAATGAATGTTTTAAAATGTTTTATACACCTTATACTTCTAAAAGGGCGACACATTAACATTATCAAGATTGTAATATTTTAAAAAATTGCGTCTATTTAACTGTATACGTAGTATTATATTATTTCAGTTTTTCGACTACTTAGACTTTTCTTTATCAACGCCCAATCTTCAAGGATGTCCGCATCATTAAGCATGTAAACGATATAAGGTCCAGCAACTGAAACAGCTCTTCTTCTTTCAGTGTGGTTTCTGCGCCTTCTACCATTAGAATTTAACCACAGATCTGCATGAATATCAACATTATTCCTATCTTCTTCTAGTCTACGTATTTTTTCTTGTAAATCATTATGGATGCAATCCCAAATTAATTCTTTTTCACTTTCAAAATTCTGTAATGCAGCTTGTTCCTCCGCTAAGAATTTATTTTGGATATTTTGTAGTCTATATTGTTTTAATATTCCAGCTACTTCTGTTTTGGTCTTCATATTTTCTTTTAGACGTTCCAATGGTACTAAATATTCTTCAGATTTTCCAACTCGAACTTCCCCCAATTTTGTATCTACTTGTGTAATTCTTTCACGGTAAAGCCTGAAGTTATAAAAATTAAAACGTTCAATTCAAGATAACAAAATTCCTTCTATAAGGACTCGTAAGTAAGAGAAAGTTTCATCGTACGAAAAGATCTGCTTACTGTTCTTTGAGAAGCGTAAATTGTCTTTCTAAATCTACTAAGTTTTCCATGCATTCGTTACGTCGCCTTTCACATTCATCCTCATCCATTTCCGAAGAATCATCACTGTCGCTATGTTCTGCACTACTGTCACACGACGCGGAGCTTTGATTACTTTCATTGCTGTCGTGAGACATTTCTTCTCCTTCTGCCTCAGATTCATCCTTAACGCTTGGCATCTGTCAAAATGTTGCGATCACCTACAGGATTAAGTAGCAACAGATTGGTAATATACTAGATGTATATTAAAATATCCAAGTTATATTTAATTTGGATGAAAATTGTTTTGAAAATATTGAACTTTAAAATGTTATATTATATTATAGCAACATAACCATTAAATATTATAGCAACATAACCATTAAATATTATAGCAACATAACCATAAAAATGTATCGTATACGTGTAAAATGTTATATAAATTTTTCTTTCGTCATTATGATCTTCGATAACTATACGTATACTTATTTATATTATATTATATTAATATAAATACGTACTCACTGTTAAATAATTATGTAGTTTTCTTTTTAAAACGATGTCACTAAATAGTGAATATTTTGAAGATAAAGTACTATCCTTTATCTAGTCAATGGTCAGATACAAATAGTTGATTTCACACAGTGTGAAAAATACTACTTTAAGGATAGATTTGATATTGAATGCTTTTTAATACAGGCACGTTCCATGTGGATTTTTCACGACTTGATACGAGTCAATTTTCGAACGGATTTGCCCAGGCCTCGGTACACGAGTGTCGAGGCATGGATAGCAGCTAATATGGCGTCGAAAAAACGCATAGAACACGCTACAAGTGCTCAGTTTTACATAGTTATAATTTTTAGGCCACCGTATTCCGTAATTTCATACGTGCATATTTGGGTTGTATATATCGAAATACATACACAGGATAGCAAATAACCATTTTATCATATTCATATATTTAGGTAGATAGGAGTATGGTTCATGAAAATCCGCTTTTAATCTGTGCCTAAATAAGTACTTAAATATTTAAATAAAATATCAGTAGTGTTAATTAAGTGGATTTACAATTAAGGGTGGTATTTAAGTAGGTAAAGTGGATAAGTAGTATATTCTTTATTAGGTGTATTTCACTGTTTAAAAATATTCTTAAGTCCGAAATATTTTATATTGTTATAACAGCGAAGGTGTAAAATACCGATACACATACGAAATACTATCTTGCGAAGAGTTATAATATGATTATAACCAAACTTTTACTTCCGGGTTTAGTTTTTCGCGCCGCTTTGCTCAGTGTTCCTTCCGATGTTTCTTGTGGGCAACGATCAAAGGGCTGAACGTTTTACAAACGCGCGTCAAAAGGAGAACTTTTTCAAATTTTCTAATACAAAATTAGTAAATGTTTGCGTAAATTCTCGTCCTGAAAGTTCTATCAACATCACACCGAAGATAATTGGTAATCAATTACTTCGTAGTTACGTAGGTTACGGTCGTAGTGGTAGTAGTATTAGTAATTGAGAAAAAGTAGAATTTTTATTATTTTCCCCTTTATCGTTTTTTTTATTGTCAATTATTTTGTTATATAAGATACTAGAGAATGCCTTTGATTATTCTCGCGGTAACGAGAGTGATAAAAAGTGTTAAAGAAGAGAAAAAATGAAATAAGAAAAGGAAGAACGAAGAAGCGACGATGGCAATTGTAAAGAAAGGTACGAATTGTTTAATACGTCTATACAGTGGTTTATTAAAATAACATTTATCGAAACAACATTTTGCTCCTGATCATCGATATTAATATGTTTAACGCCAGTACGTTTAAATATGCTTAATAGTAACAGAAACGTTTTGGAGATTTTACTTTGTCATTAGTGTCGTGTGTACTTGACTCACAATCAAAGACGTATGTATGTATGTATGTATGTATATATGTGCAATAATATGCGTATATCCGACATATGTATGTACGTCGTGAAATTGATGCGAAAGAACTACGAAATGAAAGGGAATGAAGAAAATATTTATAACTTATGTGTACATACATAATATACACATATATAACGGAAGCAGTTAGAAAAAAAAGTATATATATATATATGTTTCTGTTTGTTTCTTTTAAATCTTTTCGTGTATAATATTCCATTCATATAAGATAAGACATTGAAACCTGGATAGAACAAACAGACATACAATGCAATATTCGCAAAGTGTAAAGTATACTAGGAATTAATGTATACGATATACACACATGTTTCTCGTGTGCTTTTCATGTTTCGTGAAAACTTTCGATTACGTAGGACTGTTTCTGCGCGAAACGAAGATACATACATACAGCCCGTTTCGAATTTCCTTCTGTCGTATCAAGTTCTTTCGCTTCTATTCGCTCTTTCCGATTAAATTTAAAATTTGTCACACACGAGACGGTTACGGTAAGAATTCTTTTACTCCGTACATTCCTACGTGAAATCAAACGATCGATAACACATACAGGGGCGGGGGGGAAATCTCTGTTTCGAGAATATAATTTCGCAAGAATCGCAAGTCTTAAAAAATAAATATAAATCAAGAAAGATGTAGGCACTTGATTTTTTACATATAATTTTCACTTTCTTTCGTGATACGAAATTGTATTCAACGTATAAAAGTTCTACTTTTGTTGAGGGGGGTGAGGAAGAGGGAGGGTGGGTGGTGGTGACGGTGGTACTTGCTCCTTGCGGAAGGAGATGCGTGTCTTGGAGTCCCTGGAGGAAATGTTCAATTATCATAAGTCGAGCAAATAGTTCCTTACCATACGCATCTAGTGTGTCGTACGTAGTTTGGTGTTGCAGCGGATCTTTTTGCTCATCTGTTTCGTGTACCGATAATTTTACGTAGATTTTCTAAATAATCATTTCATGCAACATTTGCCATAACGACGGCTTTCAATTAAATACATACGTCGTATCAGCAGCGTAATCAACAGCGATCGAGTTACATTTACCGAAAATTAACGAGAGAATCGTGTGACTGAAAACAAAACGGTTAACGTTTCGTTAGCCGAATTTCTTTCAACCTATAACAAAAGAAGTTGAGTTATCGAACCGCGAAGGGCTGCTTTCTTACTTTGTCGATCGATCTTTCTTTTCGTTATATACGCGATTCTGCTTACAGATCGTACGCGATCGTGAATGAATTCACCGTTAGCAACTTTCTCAAGTCGGACAGTTTGAAAATCGACATTCGCCACTGATAAGATACGAAACTAAGAGAAGTTTTCGCTTTACTGTAATACCGAAATGCTAATTACATGTCGACGTAGTTGCGTTGTTACGCGCAAGTGCAAACGAATTATTCCAAGTTGTCAAGTCGGAAGATCGTGTATTATGCGAAAACTGCGTTGCATTTTCGTTTTCTTCCCCCGCCCCCCCCCCTAGTATCGAACACGTATTTTCTCTCTGAGGCAAAGTACTCGTCATTTCTGTTTCTCGCTCGTCAAGAAACAATTTTAGGATACGTTGGGGCGAGTCGTGGTCGCATTTTTAATAGATAAAGTAGGCCTCGTCTGACTTATTTTGTACGTACTATTACCTAATATGTTCTGAGTTTTGTCGAAGTTACATTAATGTTACGTATACTGCGTTAGAATGTTTCGGAAGACATGGCGAACATTCGCTCGAAGAAGAGAGAACGGAGGAAAAAATACAAATATTATTTACACGTCGATAAACGGTGACCCAGCATTTTAGTGCAAACGAATGATTACGTACGTACATGGATAGTTTTTCTGTTTTTTTTTTAAACGATGTTTATTAGTAGCCGGCAATCTATCGGCTGTAATTCGAAGTGAAACGCGACAGCTTTATTTGTTATTTACACGCGTAGCGGTAGTAAAGAGTTGGTGTTAGTAGATGCGATTGTAACGGAATACACGTGATTTTGGAAACGGGTATTTCCCAGATTTCTGTTGTGTGTACGTAACACGTTCTGTAGTAACTGATAGACGATTGGCTCGTAATTGTTAGAAAAACTGACGACGATTCGATATCCTCGACAACGAATGACAGAAATAAATTGACCTCAGAGAGAAATTAGAGATAGGTAAGTATATACGGCATGGAAGATACAGAGATAAAGCGGTTCCATGATTTAGGAATCACCTGGGAAATTGACATTGCGCGAAAGCATACGTCCCAATGTTCGCATACTTTTCGTTCTTAATCGCGGATAAAAATCTACATAGTTGTCTTTTGACGGTCAAAGGTTACACGCATCCATATACATATATAGTATGTTTTTTAATTACAAAAATGATGTCACTACGATGGAAACATGTTCCTGTATTATCTGCAAATAACGGAGCTGATCCGTATATGGATAGCAATATCATGATGGAGGATTTACACAGGCGAGAGTCGGGTAGGGGAGACACTGATGTTTATTTTGCTTCTCAATCGATTATAGAATTTTCAAGGTATCGTTAATTCGCTACCAATGACGCTTGGCCGTTGAATTACTTCCAACGAGATAAATACAATTTGCACAACGAAGTAATCAAGAATTCGTAGAAAATAATTATTCGTATACACATATTATATTATATAGGTATATAAATCTGCAATCTCTGGATGTCGAGTTTTGCAATTTTTGCAATTTTTTATTCATTGCTACTTACTTGTATTACAGTTCTCTCGTTCTAACTTGTTCCTTCGATCGACGTAATGGCTTTCTTTACATTCGCATGGTTCGCTCTTGAGAGTTATGAAATTTGCGTTTCTACACGTTGCACGTGAATCGTAGAAAATGAACTATTGCTTCAGGAATAGAAATAATTAATCTGTTTCGTATTTTGTTATTAGAAAAAATAGTGTAATTTTTATAGAGGCAAATGTAGAATAAGCGGTACGGTACGTACGGTACGCTTTTATATGTGAGTGTGTGTATGTGTGTTTTAAATAGATATTTTGCATTGTTTCGGTATGATTAAATGTTACATTGCATTTTTAAACTCTTAACATTGTACATTAATGAATACAATTTTTTTTACACAAAAGCTACTAAGAATTCGTAATTTTGTAAAATGGTAATGCACGATAGGGGGATAAGTGCAACGTTATTGCGGGATCGTATAATAGTACAATATTATCCTACCATGTAATACATATACGAGTTTTCGACGTACAGTAACCTGTATTTCGATTAATTTCGAAAATAGATGCTCCAAACAATCGTAACTATACACACCGCATGCATTGTATCGTGTGCCTCGATTTACTTACTCTTTGTATACCGAGTTGCGAACAATACAGGTCTTAAGACGATCAACGCATATTCTACAGTCGTTCACGAAAGTAATGGAACATTTGTAATTCAAACTGTTAATAAATAAAATATGCACTTTAAACTAGAACTTTCGAGATAACTGCGATAAGGCGCGAATCGATCAACACGAGTAAAACTCGTACGTAAAAGATATACGTAAAAGTATATACGTGTACACAGAGCGAAACATCGTTTCGTACGGTCGAGAAATTTTACAGGTCACGATTTTTATAATCCATCGATAGAAATAGCGACATCGTGAAATTAACGACAAGGCATTGATATAATTAAATAGATAGCTCTGCAAATTTTCTTACGATCGTGATTCGGAACACGTTTTGAAAAAAAAAAGAAAGAAAAAAAAGAAAAGAAAGAGACGTGTATGGTAGAACCGCGTGGAATAATCGGAGCAACGGTTGGAACGTTACTTTGAAAACTGCAGTGACTAAAAATGTAAAAGTGCGTCATTTATTTGCCAACACTTTGGATCGCGAGCATGGCGATAGTTTTCCCGATAATTGTAATTATTATTTTCGATGATATATCTAATCTGAAAAGGTTGGTCCATTCTAACAGCGACTTATCGGCATTTCACTCATCGGCATCGATTCGATCGATCTTCTGCTAGTCGGTTTATCCAAACCAGCCGAATATGGTCCGATAGATGGGATTTTGGGAAGGCTAACCTCGAGTTGCAATCGCACCACTTATCGATAATCTTGCACGCACACGTGTGCCATTGCATCTTGTTATGCTTATGAGCGGCCTAATGGGATTCTGTGCTTTCATAGAATACAGGTTATCGATTTCTTTGTTATCCGTTGTAGCACTTTCCAATATTGCTGTCGCTTGTAACGAGGCGACTTTGAAACGCTCTGCGACACACGAATCAACGACAGCTGTGTATGGTTGTGGCAGATATAACGAAACACGATTCGCAATTCCCCATCGAACATGTGTACGTGTATATATCTCGTACGCGAAATATATGGTACGTGCTACGCAAATACCAAAGCTTTTTCCATTTTACGATAATTCGTATTTCCAAGTCTCGAGATGATACGCTCTGTACCGTTAATTTCTTTACTCTCGCATATACGCGTATATATGGGCAACGAAAGATTGGCAGAAAGTAATCGAAACCGGTTGAACTTGATATTCTTACCCCTGATTACCTTACCACTTCAAATTACCTTTACCTTTACTTTTCTCTTTTTGTGTCTACACATATAGTTGATCGAATCATGGATCGAAATAAATTAATAGAAAGATATATCTTTCTGTTGGACCGAAAGGAATTTCTCATGTCCCGATTTCTCTCGTTATATGGTCTCACGTTGCGACTATTTCGTATCACGAGCGATAGGAACGTGTCCTACGTGATTTATGTAATCCAAGGTTCTCGTAAATAAAAGCAACGATCGACTTGGATGGTGGTTCAAGGTAACCACTATTCTGGTATCAGTCATCGAGCGTCTATCGAGAGCCAGATGTATATGTGAAATCCTTTCAGATGCGTTTGGCCTATAGCTTTGATTATAACCTTTTTCGATATAATTGATTAAAGATGAAAATTAATTTAATATAATTTAACCGTTGTAAACCTTTTCGATGAATTTTTAAGCCAAACAAAGTACGATACAGCTGTAAAAGGATAAATTGGTTTAAAGGAAAGAGAAACTATGAAAGAAGGAGAACGATGTAAAGATATAAAATATGAAAAATAGTGTACGACTATCTTTTCACATCATTTTCAATAAAAATGTTAAAACCAACTCTTATCGTAATACCTTGACCATTCGTCATTCAGATTATCGTGTTTTTGTTAATATCACGTCACTTGGTCATTTCTTAAAAGCTTATTTCTTGCCGAAATTGAATTCTTCTCTTTTAACAGCGTTAACTTATACTCTCATTCTGCTAAATTTCTATGTTTCAATTTTCTGCCAATTATCTTTTCACCTGTTTCTTAGAGTTTCTTGAAGCGCGTAACTTCGTCCTGTAATTCGATAGCAAAAAGTATCTTTGCCCTCTGCCTGACTACTACGTGCATTAACGAGCAAAGAACTTTGTTCAAGGGTTTCTCGTTTTTCTAGAAATTATAATTGCGTTACTCTGTATCTAATATAAAAGCAAAAGGTATGTTTTATACTCACAAGATATAAAATATGTATATAATGGACGATGTAAAATATAAAATATAGATATATGATATTAGAGAGATATTTCAATTGATTTAAAATCTAAAGTTAGGTGATAATAAAACTGTCGCATAAGGATATTGTCTTGTGTATTTATATTATCGAGCGATTCGTCGATTATTCAGATTGTTCGGAAAAACTGAACGGAAACTGAACGGATCAAACTAAATCGACGATTGTCCATTTCTGGTTGCGTTACTTTTTTCTCTTTTTTAACTTGTACAAATTGGACAGAGCTAAGTTTCAGATTTCTGTACTCGGCTGTTTTCGCGAATAAATATTTCGCAGAAACTTTTCAACGTGAATAACTGCTAATCGTAATCGCTGGCAGTCAATTCGGTTTGAAACGATCCTTGATACGTATGTACCATATATACATGGCTGAAATTCCATAATCGATAGCGCGGCGAAGCGAGGGGCCATCGAATAATAAGGTAACGCTATTTTTGTAGAATCTTTGCTCCCTTTCGCAACCTCCCGAACCATTTCATCCCGAAACTTTCGTATCATGTTCGAACAACGTGTACGCGTTGTCTTGTGAATACGTATATAATAATGCAAGTATACGTACGTGTATATGAATCATCGCGAGACGAGACTGTGGGATCGTGTTCGACCGATACAAATAGTTCAACGGAGAAATGTTTTCTTCCGCTAAGTTGCGAGTTTGCAGAAACGTTAAACGAGAACGCGTTATCCGTTTTCTTTGGCCGTCAAGAGAGTGAACGAGATACGATAATCATAGCCATTTCTTACGAATTATGCATTTTCCATGTCCGAGACCTGCTCGAAGGAAAAAGATTTCAAACCTAACTACAAGCCATAGGGCATCCATCCGTTTGTGCCTCTGTAAAGAAAAAGTTACACAAAGATTTATCTCTGTCTCGCTTCCATCGAATACGTTCGATCGTACCGATCGCACATCGCGGATCAGAGAATCCGGAGAAACATACATACTTTTTTTTATACATACTTTGGAACAAACGAACGATCGCGCCATCGGCTGATTTACTCGTTCTCATTGATGGTATCGATCTCATTGCTTTCGATTGTATCGGTTTCTTCTTTGAAAACTACGACTGCCGATAGAAAAAGCGATCAGCGAATCGGCAAATCATTTTTGTTCCTTACGAACGAAAAGGCTAAGACGACTAGGATTTAGCAGTGCCGCTTTGCGCTTTGTCGTTCTGAGCTTTGTCGAAACCGTCGATTAACGTTTCGATGATGAATTTGATCGTCACTTTGTAGGTGCTCTCCACGTTCTCCGAGTATCGATCTTCTAAAGTTCGCTTCACGGCTTCTAAGAATGGTTGCTCGATTTTCTGAAAATAAAATTCATTGAGAGAGGAATAGGAGGGGCGGGAGAGAGAGAGAGAGAGAGAGAGAGACAGATAGAGAGAGAGAGAGAGAGAAACGTCAAATGGGTCAAAGTCGAAATAAAATTCTTAACGTTTACGAATATTTTTAGCTTATTAATCGTTCGTCTCCCGTTTAATTTCGTATATACGTTCCTATAATTGTTAACGAATGCCAAGTTTAGTAACATGTAGACGATTTAGCGTAAAATGCTAGTTATACGCGTTTCCGTGTCCGTTGTCCGTTTAACGCCATCGATCGAGTCGATATCTGCAAAAGTTTTGCAAACCATAATAACATTACCAAAAGCATCGTGCAAAGCATTACATACAAGTTTCAACGCAGCCTTTCGATCAGACACGATCAGACTCGAAAACTATTCGATCCATGTTTGATTTTGTGATATGTTTACTTATTTAAGTAATATCGCACGATAAAGATTATATTACGGCTGTAGTAGGTGGAAGGCTCGCGATTCGATCGGTGTTCGATCGAACCAGCCTAACGAGGAAACGAACGATCGCCTTGGAATCGTCAACAGAGTCGGCAGAAGAATTTTCAGGAGAAGAAGAAAAAAGTAGTATCCCGTCTGTTGCATGGTACGTGTAACGTCGCTACGGTGTATCACACACGGTATACCATACGTATTACTGTCCAACTTTGTTTCGGTGAAACAGAGGTATCTCGTATTTTCAGCAGCGACTATAGAACGTAACGAATCTACGAAGGGAACATTCGAGACGCGAGAAAATCGGAAATCAAAGAACTTGTTTATTCTACTATCGTGGACGAGAAACCGTAGTATAGCAACTGAACGTTGGACAAAATCTCGATGCCCACGCCGAGACGTTTTATTCGATCTTTGATCGCGTCGCTTTATCATGTTCTAGTACTACAATTTTGGAAAAATGTTCGTACATTTGTGAAATAGTAACGTGATAACGAACGACGATAGGATTTCTTGGTACCGATAATATCAAGTATATAACAAGTTACTTTTTACGAGCTTACCCAAAAGTACTGTGGATTAAAGTCAGGAATCTTTGTATGCGTGGCTCCGACTTGATGAAGACAGGTGAGGAAATCATCCATATTGTCGAGTCCTCTGATACCTTCGTCCAGAGCAGCCATTACTTTTTCCGCGTGTTTGCCCAATTCTACCATATCGAAGCGCTCCTCTTTCGATTTCAAGTCGAGAAAACGCGAAAACATTTGCACCAATTCCTCGTTTTCTTCGAACAACCTGCGAATAAACGAGAGAGTGAACTTATAAAAAGTCGAAGCTTGGTATCCTACTTTCTCTGTCGTCAGTAGTTGCTTCGCGTAGTTGTTTTGTAATTAACATTGGCGGAATACACGCGCGAAACTATGCGATACTTTACCGCAATTTTTATACCGTTTCCTATTCTTTAGAGATAAATAATATATTTCTAAAGACGCGAAGAGAAGAGCAAAGTGTCCAAAGTTGAGAGTAAATTTTATTAAATGAAAATTATACCGTCATTTTGTCTACGACTTTATTCTATATTCGAATAAAATCGTGTTTCAACGTTTTTACCGATGACAAGGAAAAGTACTTTGTTTTTCTTGAATTCTGTAGGCGTCATAAATCTTGTACTTGGCCTTTAGGGGATAGAAGCTTTTACGATATATTCTGTGTACTTTCTCCGAAAGTAAAACTCGCGAAACTTGGTCCGTGACACGGTCGAGGCAACGCTGTTGTTCCATAAGACTTTATCTTTGTTTCCTTGCTTTACTCGCTTGGCTTTATAGCGACCGTTTCCTCGTTTTCGCGTCAGATATCGTTTTTAATTTTCATTATCATTCGTTTATTCGTGTTTTATTCGCGTCTCTCGGCTTAGCACGACTTCCGGCTATCCATCGCGTTAAACTTTCTCGTTCGATCGCTTCTTCTACGGCTATTTTATTTCGTATACGCGCACATGCATATGTACGATACGTAGAACGTTAAAAGGTCCCTAAAGTCTTCGTTCTTTAGGTTTAATATGAACATTTTAAAATCTGGCACCGACGAAGCTTATCTCTTTAGGTAAGACGAGTGTCGCGCGGCATCGTTACTTGCTATGCTTATAATAAGTATTTCTGTCTCGAGTCTTATTCGAATCGCGTTTCTTCTGTTTCTACGTTTAATTAGCCGTACCGCCACCACAAACCTATCTATCTCTCCAACGACGCGTTGCGCTTCGTTTTCTTCGGTTCTTAAGCGGCTAAAATTTTTAGTTTCCACTTTGTAGGAGGCTGGTAAGATGTCGAGCAACGAGTTTAGAGATTTGCTTTCGATATGTAAATAAAAGAAATTATTAACGCATCGCGCGTTTATCATTGTTATACGTATAACCTACTTTACGAGTGTCGCTTTTTGCGTTATGTAGCAACGTTATATAGCAATATGCAACTTTGTACATAATACGTAACTTTGTAGATGCGATGCAACGTAAAGACACATTGTACGTGTACGTGTACGTGTTTCGTGTGTATTGGTGTCTGAAACGAATGGAATCGATAGTAAGGAACTTTGATAAGGCCCTTGAGACGCGAATAGCTTTTCAAAGGTAATTATCGACTTTGATGTTTCGTAATCGATTCGCCAAATTTGTTATATTCGTAGTCCGCACATACGGATGTGTACGATCACCGTAGGAGAATCGCTCGAGACACGACGTTTCCCAACTTAGATGCCAATTTAACGAACGAAACGAACAATTCTCGAAGAATTAGATCGGTGTAAATACCGTGTGTAAATATCGTGACGCATTGACGAAGAATGGAGTAAGCAATAAGAAGGAGGAACAAGTTATATCGATGCGTAGGATGCAGGTAAAAATAAATAATAAAAAGGTTGGCTCCGTGTGCGTCAGAAACGCTTCGATACGCCGGTAACGGACGATTGTCAATTTCCAACGGCTATCGACCGTCGTTTGTCGCATCTGTGAGTAACCCAGCGAGCATATACGCAACGCGACACTCATTTTTCGGTTTTCCACCAACGGAGAAAGCAGAGCATCTACCGTCGTTAAAGAGAATGGATCGTATCCAGCAACTGGAGCGCTATCAATCACGAAAAAGGGCAAACATTTCGTTTCTACGTGTACATGTTACTTGTCAAGTACGTTGACGGTAAAGACGCGTAAACGATAGCTCCTTTAATAACGCGCTTCGTTATATTCGAAACGATATCGAGCCTTGCAATTTCAAAATGTCCGCTTTTGTGGGAAAAGTTCTCGTTTTATTTACTTATCGTACCGTTTTATTTATTTACTCTTTCATTTTCATTTGGATAGAGCTGCAAGTACGATAGAACGAACGTCGCTTACTTGTTTCAAGACGAATATCTTGACAATTTCAATAGTAGGAAATAGTAAGAAAAGAAAGAAAACGGCGAAAAATTTTGCGATAAAGAGATAGAGGTAAAGAGATGGTCGGAGGAGTGGAGTTGGTTAGGAGAAACGGGTTAAGTTTGAAAGAAAGCAAGAAGGCGTACGAAGAAAGACGGAGAATAAGGAGGAAAGGAAATGAAAGGAACGAGAGGAACGAACGATCGGTTTGAAAGCGGACGAAAAATAACAGGGAGAATGGAGGAAAAAGGAAGAAACGGGATAGACTCGTTTTCACGTCGACTCGCCTAGAAATGACAGACACGAACGCACTATTTCTGCGCTTGGTCACGCGAATAGTCTGAAAATGCCAATACGAGGAAGTCTATTGTTCGTTAACAGCTGGGACAGAGAGGGAGAAACAACGATCGCCTGCGTTTCACGTCGGAACCTTCAATCCTCGAACGCTCGTTAACATTGAGAAACAGAAAGCAAAAAAATAAACGTGGCCGCGTGTATCGTTTAGTTGTTGTTAATCGCTGTTTATTCGTTACGTTTGCTGTTTCACGAATACCTTGGCGAGGCTATCGTCGAGGTTATATTATCGCGAACCTATAATCGACACATCGATACCAGAGATAGAGGGACGAAAAATTCCACCGTACTTTTAATACGAATTCACATGAATTCACATGAATTTAATTACATACTCTGATAATAGTTTATTTTCCGATTAACAATCGAGCGATATTTGTCAGAGCGTACAGACCACGATTTCGATTCGGAATCGGAATCGGAATCGGAATCGGAATCGGAATCGGAATCGGAATCGGAATCGGAAGAGGGATAAATCTGTGCAAAGATACAAGTGGAAAATATACAGACTATCATTGTTCCACGCTTCTATGCTCTGCTCCGTGGTTGATTATTGGTTGACGGAGGGTCGAATCTGTGCGGTTTTTTCCTCGGTCCACGATAAATTATTTCAGGGTAGCCCTTTGTAGGCATATCCCGTACGCTCTAATTACGCCGAGAGTGCATCGATATCAGGAATCTCATCAATTCAGTAACAAGTGGATAGATAAAGATAGAAAATAAAGGGAGTGAAAGAGATGGACGCGTGTACGCTAAAAGGGTAGCAAGTAAACGAGGAGCAGCGAATAATGGAATCATTTGTCGTCGAACGATATCGGACATCGGCGAGGAGAGCGTAATTAGATGGCGACTAAACTTACGAATCCTCCTTTGTACATATGTATTTGCTTTTTCTACTCGGATTTTTCATCTTCGCGGAACGGAGACCAGCGACTATCGTAAATAGATCGTTTGCTGGTAATTCCGAAAACGACGAAACGATAAAGTAAATGTAGTATGTATTATAGATTGTAATTTGATCACGATACCTGTAGTAAATTATAGTTGTAGGCATAATCGTTTCATAGTTAACCGAGAATATGTTGGTCGTAACATTCGATCATTATATCCGCTCTGATTGTTTCTCTTGTACGTGTACATGTATATTAAACGCAATTATCGATTATTCGATAAGTAAAATTATTATTCGCTACCTTGAATTATTAAATAATCGATAGCCGTTATTCGCGTTACATTTCGTTCGACTCTGAAACATTCGTAGAATAGAGAATCTATCTTTGATATTTTCTTTTTTCCTCTTTTAACGGATATTTTCACGGGCAATTAACGGGTAATTCGATAAGACATAAGAGATACGACTCTTTCGCAAGACTATGTAATTCACGTTCGACCAATGAAATGAAAATTTGTATTCGCAATAGGGTTGAGAGTAAAGATGATCTCCTTCCCGTTTCCCCGATAATCTCCTTTATCGAAGCATCTCCATCATTTTCCGAAGTTTGTCGTTCGGGACTAGTTAACGTTTCAAGGACGCGACTGAGGAATAAATTGGCAAATGGAAATCGTACGCGACTCGTAAAATACGAGTTTAAGAAAAATGAAATTATGTGCGAATTTCGTCGTAAGAGCGAAATCGATGAAGAAAGGAGAACCGAGAGTGGAATACCGAGTATAGGTAAAATCTAATATTGGATGATGTGTTATAGCGGAGATTTCGGGTCTAACCCTTACCTGGATTATCGATTTTACTTTTATAAGCGGTGTATAACGCCGTTCGTGTATAGGAAATTATTTAGAGCTGCGTGTAACATTGGAGAAGCTGCTTGTTATCTACAAAATAATTTAACAACTTACGATAGAATTTCAATTTTGTCCGTTTCTTTAACACGTTGATCGCCAACGAACAGTCTTGCGTGTTCGGCGAAACGGCCTTCCTAGCCTAATTTCTATGCATTCTTACACTTTGCATCAGTTTCTCTTAAAATCTATACGCGTACGTATATTTTCGTCGAAATTTATTTTGCCATCTTTCGAGATGCCATATTTTTTTCTTCTATTTGCCGCGAAAGAGACAAAAGGATAGCTTCGATCGAATTATAGCTATATAACCATATGATACAAAGTACATCTAACTCGTAACTACGTAGTAATACGATTAAATAACGAATAGCTCGTTACTCTTTTCCTTATAATTAATTTCCGTATAATTTCTTTCGCTATATAGCGTCTGGTAAACGATATATTCGTATTATTTGAAAAGTTGAGAGGTTATTATTCGAAAAGTAAAGCGCACGACACTCTTGGAACAGCAAGATCGATCGTTGATATTTTTATACGCGGAATTTACTACTTTGTAGGAGGAAATGGCAAGACGTTATCTATATCGCGAACATGGTAGAGATAGGTAGAGATGCGAGGAAAACGAGCGCTGGAAAAGCAACGTATAACGATCGTATCGATAATTTACTACTTGCGACTCGCCTGTAATTAATATGCAAACATCAAAGTTAACATTTCGCGTTTAAACAAAAAAAAAGAAACTGTCATTCAGAGTCATTTTTCGAAAATTGAATTCGAAATTCCGAAATTGAATTGAATTTACCTAAATACGCCGATCACGCTCGGTTATTGTAGGCCAATATCTAGAAACCTATCGTTGTTTCACGAACGATGGAAAGGCTCAGAAGCCGACATATAAAGACAAACGAAAGGAAATTACGTGCGTTTGACAGAGAAGAAACCGGGGATAAAATCTAGTATCCGTGGACGAACGATGAAAAAAAAAAAAGAAAAGAGGCAGACGAGGTAGTTAATTATCCAATTTAATTATCTGCAAAGGCCTCCTTTCGTGACCCGTTATTTTATTTATTAACTAGGTGCACATTTTCTTCTTTTATTTCCGTTTATTTATTTCAAATATGTATCGAATTCCTTTTTTCCAATTCGATGGATATGCTACACTTTCACGTATACGATATCTGAATATATCGTATGTGCAGAATGTCCTTGATTTGTTTCCTCTACGATAAAAGGAGAAGCACGTCGGTCGACATGTCGCTACCATGTGCTGGTTGGTAATAGGTGTTTGTGAATTTCGGAGGAATATGATTCGTACGCTTATGAAGTTGCAAGTTCGTTTGAAACGGATGTTATTTCGGTGCACGTAAATTCTGTTATCCAAATGTTTTTATTACTAACTCGAACCCTATCGATCCGAACGTTAGTTGGACATTTTAGATGGTAGAAAACACGATATACTAGCGATACTTATAATACGTGTCTGTGATCTCGCGGAAAATACAAAGAAAGGTTGTAACGAATGTGGAAGAACATGCGCTGTTTGGAAATGTGCGTTTGACGTAGTATGAAATAAATTATCGACTTGCGTAATTCTCTTAATAAAAATATAAAATCTCCTTAGAGCGGAAATTTTATTACGCGATCCATCGAGTAACCGTGGAATCGAATCGCCATATAAATGGTTATAAATCATATAATCCCCTATAGTTTGTCAGATTAATACGGTTAATTTCCTTGGATTAGAAAAGTTAACAGGAACGATTATACCGCCGATGGTATCTCATTGTCTTTTATAATATACGGTCTCTGGAGAAAAGGTTAATTCGTCCGTAACCGTTAGCTTTATCCGCCTTTAACGATATCGCGTACAAGTACGGATGTCGCAAATGGGGAAAAAGATATAGATAAGACCAAGCTCTAAAGGGGTGGCGAGTTTCTCGGATATCGTAATCGTACGATATCGGATCTCTACTTTATCGGCCACCTCTTAAGGAAATTGTAGGTAGTCCGTGAATCCTCATCTCCCGTTAAACCGATATAACAGTTCGAACGGACGAAACGTTGACAACTGTTGGGTCGTTATCGCGCGCTAATGATAAACGACGAAAATTTTAGCGACAACGAAACTAAGAACCGGCCGATTTCGGTGTTTTAACGGTGCATTTTGAACGTTCGACTCGATACTAAACACGACGATAGAACGTTTGTAATAACGGAGAAACGAAATTGACTAATAGCATCGTTTTCATCGTTTCGGTCATCGTACAAAGTCTTTCGAAGAAACGCCTACCTTTCAACAGCATGGTTCTATTTCTTATTTGTTTTTATTTCTTATTGCTTCTCGCAATTAATTATATCGCACGTTACTTTATTAATTATATTACAGAGCCACGTACTCTTTCTTCTATCTCTGGATTCCAGTGATATCGCGTACTTAATGCACGCTCTAGTGATACGTAATTTTTATAGAACTTTTCTTACGTTTAATGCGTTACAAACCTCATGAGCATAAAGACACCGGTCGTTTCTAGCTTTCTGGAGACCGCTTTCCAACTGGCCATAACCGTAAATTTCTGTTTCGCTGTTAACGGAAGCCGTGGGTCCGTGGTAGGTTGATTCGGTGTGGCCAATTTGCTGAGTTCGCAGCCCATGTCGAGTATCGGTGATCTGTTCCTTTCTTCTTCGGGAATAGAATTTTACCTTGGAGAACGATCAGTAGATTTGACCGGATCGAGCGGGAAAAATCTTCAATCCTGTACGAAGCTTCGTTGATCTTCGACTCGCTTCGACCATGGAATCTACGGACACCGCACGGCGATCAATCCGGCCGAAAAACGGACGAGCAAACTTTAATCAAGCGGCGGGCAATCAGCTGGTTTCCCACGGTTTCATCGAATCACTCGCGTTCAAGCGTTTCACTGGATTTTTGCCCCGAAGGATTTAACGTATTAAGAAAAAGGCTAGTCATTTATAATCCCTCGCTCCTCACCATTTGGTTACCACTTTACGAACAATCGATACGAAGCAACGTGTTGTTCGATCGCTGGCGTTCCGTTCGAAGTTAACGTAGCCGTCGTCGTCGTCGTCGTCGTCGTCGTCGTCGTCGTCGAAATCGAAACTGTTACGTTTAAGCGAAAAGTTCAAATCCATTCGTCCTCCTGCTGGTCTCCGTTGTTGATAATTTTTCATTTAAAGTTCATTTAAGATACACGTGAAAAACGGAAAACTCGTTCCTCCTTCTCCTCTCCAATATGCTTTATCTTCTGCGAATGTCAAAACGAATCACCGAGTAACAACGATCCACGGTTCTTTTGAGTCTTTTCTCCGGCTGCATCGAATGCAACGACGCTTTGTCGAAATATTCTAGCAGAACGATCGCGGCCGAATACTGTAATTAGAACAACTTGCTTGATAAGTGGTAACGATTCGCTTGATGGAAAAGGAGAGACGGTGGACGTTGCTAAGCGCGAATGCAGATTTAAGCACGAGGATTTCGAGGTTTCCCGATCGTCAATTTGTAAGTAGAAGAGAGAGAGAGAGAGAGAGAGAGAGAGAGAGAGAGAGGGAGAGAGAGAGAGAAATATTTGATTTCGATGCGTGATTTATTATATGCGGTTATAGGGTTTTTACGAGATTTCAAGGTGTTCTCGTTTCATCGCAAACGTACCGACACGACGCGATGTCCAGACGAATACGTACGATCGGTAATTATACGTACGCAGAGTCCTTGAAAATCTAAAAATTAATCGTCTATCATAATATAATTCATCTAACGAGAATGTATGATAAAATTCTATAATTTTCTACCTTGGACCTAGTCCAAGTGGATATTACTCTTCGAGCAAACTGACTTTTCGCCAACATCGTCTGTCTCGTTCGATGTTCATAAATATGTAAAGAAAGGAACAAGAAATAATTACCTCTCTGATAAATAGACCTACCAACTAGCCTAATAAATAGGTAAATGTGGTGGAAAGTATCGATCAACGTGTAATTATCGAATTGCTCGAACGACCAAAGACTTATCTTTAAGCTTTAAGGCTTTAGCGTAGCAGAAATTAACGAAGATACAAAAATTCTCGTTCGACCGTTAACTTTGTAGCTTTAATTGTTAAAAAGATTCGTTTTTGATTCGGAGTTGAACCGACGGGAAATAATTGGGAGAAGAAGGGGAACGAAAGTCTCTTACTCGATGGAGAAATGTAAAACTCGAGGAAGAAGCGATAACGAAGGTGAAAATGATGGAAAAAGGAAAAACGTTTGAAGGGATAATCAGAAGACGGCAAAGTCTGTAACGAAGGATACTTTGCCTCGCGCGTAAACAAAGACACGAAAAGAGGAGAGAGAACGTAAAAATTTGAATAATCTTAAAAGCAGGTTGACCGTGTTACATGGTGTTGGTCGAATGGCTGTAAAATTTGGTATCGAGAAGCGAATAATCGATCCGATTCGCGGATCGAGTACGAGTCTCTTGAGTCGTCGAGTTAACGTTTACGAAACACGATAACGGAACAGTATAACGGAACAAGAGCGTCATGGAAAAACTTGGAAACGGGAAAATAAATATGAAATCGTCTCCCTCTGTTTCACGCTCGATCGAGAAAGAAATACAAAGTACGATGTTGGTGCTTTGATCAATTTGTAGGAAAAGATCTCGTCGATTATTTTACACAGCAAAGTGTAGACATTAATTAGTAGAAGCAGCACGTACATACGTACATGTACATGTGCACGTATCTATAGATCCCGTATTAAAGCGCAACTATGCGTTACTAGATCGCGGATGTTTATACAAATGCATATTTTTATCGGAACGAACGAACAGAGCAAACGAATAAGCGGAGATTCGTTCTGTATTATGGCACGTAGTTTATTCTAAATATGCGTTTGTTATATGTTCGCACACTATGCATAGCTTGCGCATTTCCCTACATCTTTGTACATTTAAATTTGCCACGAACGCATAGACGTCGATATCCTATACGTATTATGATTCGATCGTACAGGCGGTTTTAATCGCCGTTTAATTACCGCTTGAATCGATCGTAGCGATTTAACAGAATTTGTTTTATCCGACTCGTAAATTAGAGACGAAACAAGTGGAAGATATCGAGTTTGTCAGACGATGGATGACTGTCGCGCAACTACGTCCAACTACCTGCCAACTATTACCGTGACGTATATACATATTTACTTTTACAGATCTACCTACTATCTTTGTACGATAGCCATAGTAACAGCAACGGATAAAATCGGTCGAGATTTTCTTATTTTATGACTAAATTACTCGTGTCGTGGAAAAATAAGCAAGTGGCCGGATACTTGCGAGCAGCGTACAGCGTACAGAACAGTGTACAGAAACAAGGAAGTGGAAGCATGTTTGATGGAAACGATGGAAATTTCACCCTTTTTCACTTTCTACTTTACAGTTTTTACTTACTTTTACTAACTTTTCTCTGGCTATTGGAAGATCGTTGAATCGACGTGTACGTTAACTAGAAATATTTTTGACGATCACGGGTGCACGAACGCGTATACTATAAAGTTTCACTCCTAAGATTCTGACGATAAGTACATCTCCGTTTGGTTTGGGGCGAGAAGCTTGGTGTAAAAGTATCTCGAGGACTGGAAAAGAAGAAAGTCGAGAAATCAGCGTGACGCTGAACACCGACATCGTGTCAAGCGTTTTCGCACGAATATCAATTCTCGAGACAGTTTCTCTCGTAGGACAGTATCAGAACGGAAAGAAATGAAAAGGAAAGGAAAGGAAAGGAAAGGAAAGGAAAGGAAAGGAAAGGAAAGGAAAGGAAAGGAAAGGAAAGGAAAGGAAAGGGAGGGAAAGGAAAGAAACGATAAAGCGACGAAAGATCGTAGTCGGTGTGCTTTTTAGGAAAGCATCGTCCACCGTTCAATTTCCTCTCTTCTCAGAGTAGGGGTAAACGGGAGAAAGAGAGAAGCGCGGAAGAATCACCTGGTGGATGGATGAAACAGGGTTTCTCTGATCCCCGACGAACCGTCAACCGAATCGATTCGCACGATTTACAAGCCACGAGCTACGATTGTCCTTCCCTTGTTTTAAATAGGTCCTGGCTCGTCGGTCAGCGGAGCGCTGCTTCTGCATTCTGTTCCCTCTTCCTCGTTCCGGTCGAAGGAAGAGAGAGCCGAGAGAATATATGGTTAGTGCGCGCCAGTGTCTTCAGCGACGCGTCCTTTTCCCAGAGGAGCAAGTTTTCGTTCCGCATGTGTCTGTAGGTGCGTTCCTCGTTCCGAGTAGGCGCGACTGCTGTCGACGGAGCCGTTCATTCGCCGTTTCCAACGCGGCTACCAAGGACCTATCGCGATTTTCCAACACGTTCTCGTGGTCACGGTTCCAGTTTTCTATCTTTAGAACGTCTCCCGGGGCTCGGATCGTTCGCGTGACGATGATTTGCG